CATCCATACCAGACAGAATATTCAGGTCACTGAGCTCCAGTTCATTTAAGCAGCATAGCTTTATCAAGACCCCCAACCCTAGTCTGATGATGGAACAATAAAAGACAGCAGCATGCTAATGGCTTGGTGCTGTACTCAGTGGCTTAACAACTGGGGGGGCGCAGGACTGAGGGGGGGCGCCATCACCAACCCCCGCTAAACAAAACCCCTGGTCGCAGATGCAGTGGCTCCCTCTCTCTGCCACATGCACCCGGCTCTGTCATAGGACGGCCGCTCGCTGTTTTAAATGTCCCCGGGAACATAAAATAAAACTTTTTTTTTTTTTTATTACTACTCACCTGATTCCTGGATCCAACAAGTGCAGCCTCATGTCTCCCACGCTGTTAGAAGTTGCATACAGCGTGTTCTGGTTACTACTTAAATCGGCGCGCGCAGTGTGCAGCTTCTGAGAAGATACGCTATTAGCATAGCGGGAGCGATGCAAAATAAACAGCCGCCTTCCCCACTATGCTAATAGCGTATCTTCCCAGAAACTGCACACAGCGCGCACCGGTTTAAGTAGTGACCAGCACACGCTGTATGCAGCTTCTAACAGCGTGGGAGATGGGAGGCCGCGCTTGTCGGTGGATCCAGGAATCAGGTGAGTATTAGAGAAAAAAAAAGTTGTATTTTATGTTCTATTCTTAGTTATATAATGGCATAACATATCAGCTAGGGAACTACAAGTCCCAGCATGCCCTCATTGCCCCTGTACAACAACCAGATATTGCCGTTCCCTCGTAAAATGCCAGGGGTGTTTTTTAAAAAAAGGGGGGGGGGGGGGCGAAAAAACATTTCTGCCCCGGGCGCCAATAACTCTGGTTACGCCACTGACTGTACTTACTATCCTGTAAGCTTGTTCACAGTCTAAGACTGACAGCAATGTCTAAAGCAAAAGAGCACTGATGGCTCATAGGTCTGAGGTTCCCTCTATCAGAATAAGCTATTTCAGTACAGGAGTCTCTACCACTGTGTAAAAGGGAAGGGAAGGTTGAAGTCCAGCTTTCATTTCCGAAGTTTTTGTACATTTGCCACACTGTGTGGAGCAGAACTGCTATAGAACTAGTATGTGAGGCAATAGTTTGAGAATGCCCAAAACAGCTTCTCAGAAAGTAACATCTGTCATGATGCTTATTCAAGTCCTGTCATTTTAATAGATACTGGACATGTACAAACTTTGACAGTGATCTGCCTGACCCAACCTCAATTTCCAGTCCAAGTACAGAGATTATCCAGTTCTTATTGCCCCATGTTGTTATGGCTTCTTTTCATCAGATGCTTCTTTCTGATTGGAAAGTGCAGTACATGTGGATGTTGCAGATAAAAATATGTATAAAAGTATGTGGCCTGATCAGGCTTAGTTCAGATTTTACTGGCCAAAAAAAAATAACCCAGCGTGGACATCCTATAGGGGAATTGTAATGCAGAGGGTTACCTACAAGAGCACTATGTCATGGACAAATTACAAGAGTGCCTGCACAGTATACACCCTGCTATCTCTTAGCTGACTACAAGATATAAATCTCCTGAGCACTTCACATGGGCCTTTTTGAAGATGCATTACTGGGTCTCACTGCAGAAGCTAGAAACTGATAAATATCTTATACCTAAATGCAATGGCCATGGACAACGTGCCACTTCTGAAGCAGCATAGTAAAAAAGCTTCCATCTTGTTTTTATTGTTTGCCTGTTGTTTTTAATAAATACCCAAGTCATGCTCAAAGTGCTGTCATCCAGGACATCAATTTATATAAACAAAGCTACCTTGGTTATGGCAAGGAGCCTAAAGACATTCCTTATAAGATCAAGTGCCCGTGAACTGAAAATACAAGCTAGCGCATTTAGCAAATACACATGCCCTTTAGTTAGGCAAATTGATGTACATAGTGCAGTGATCCACAGCAACCATTTAGTCTTTACTATATTGTTTACATATGAAAGGCAAAATCTGATAGTTTCCTATATGTGTTCTTTGCTTCATATACTTTTTCTTTACATTGCCATTCTAAGGATTGTCAAGGCTCAAACATGTACAATATCCTATTATTGCCAGCTTTATAATCAAAATAATTGCCAAGAGATATTTAAATGCACAGGACAGGAAAATCTCAGTTACTCAATCAAGGGAAATTCATCTAAGTGGGTTTCTGTAGAATGGTGGTAAATGCAGGGGAGGGTGCAGAATGAGAATTGTAAATAAATAGGAATCACCTCTGTGTCAACAATCAGCTGGTCTGCCAGTTCATAGACCTCCACAGATCATTACCAGTTCACACAACTCCCTTCAGTACATTACATGTCAGACCCACAGAGATCTTTCAAGTATGCCTAGTAGGCAGAATAAACTGCAGGGGGTGAAATACAGAATGCTAAGTGTGGGGCTTAAAACTTTGGATTAGAGAAAGGAGGGAAATTCCTTGATGAATGTGTCCTTACTAGAAGACATACCCCTAAAGCTGCTGGAATGTTTTATTAAGATTAGTGATCATTTGCTATACTGACTAGAATTTGTGAAACTGTACACAACTTTGGTAACTATTACATTATAGATTTATCTTAATATTAGAAAACATCTATATTGTTACAGCATTATGAATTAAATATAAAGCATATTCTATAAAAGTTGACTAGGAAATGTAATAAGATATTACAAAGCAACAAAGTGGTATTAACATACCATTGATGAGGTAGGATGTTACCATGTTACCACCCACCCTTTGCTTCTCTCTCTCTCTCTCTCGCTCTCTCTCATACTGTACAGTAATATATAGATATATATACCAACTTATAACTGGCAGTTTACAAAGTGCTTTATACAGTAATGAACCAGCCCAATAGTTGTAAACTTGTAAACTTAAACTTGCTTATTCAGTAATGGTGCAAAAAGAAATAGCATGCTAAAACCCTCAGAAACCAATTGCTTCCTATTGAAAGGTACGTCCCACATACAATAACGACTGGTGAAAGTTTGGCCCGCCATTGCTAAGACCATGGCCAAGAGTGGCTGGCGAGTTTGACTCCAATTTGGCCAATATTTGTTGGAATAAAAACATGCTGACTGAGGACATTGGTCCCTTTTCTATGGATGGGGAAACGGCAATAATTGCTAAGTGCTTGTCAATTGTCAGGACTTTGCTTATACACTCTCTGGCTATTGCAAGCTTGCATAAATGCTTTTGATGCAAATATCAGGTCTTGTAAGGTAAGGCTTACAACAGCAAACTTATATGAGCTTAATCTTTATCAGCTGCAGTAAGATAGAGCACACATTGCATTAGGTTAAGAACTAATATTAACTGGTGCTTCACATTTTAAATATATTTAGCTAAGTGAATATATTTACAAGTAGATTATTCAACCATCCTAACTGTTTGCTTTGTGTTTTAGGTGTAAACATATTTTATGCTTTCTTTCTTGAATCAAAAGTCCATTATATGTATCATACATGTAGAGGAAGACAAAAGAAAACCAAACAAATA